TCCTATCATTGTGAAGCGAAAATTACAAAGCGTTGGATTGACGTGAGCTGGGTTTAGACCGTCGTGAGACAGGACAGTTTTACCCTACTGATGGCAAGTCGTTGAGATAGTAGTACCGGTTAGCCCTACAATAACAACGGTGTCGGATATTTGGTTCATGCATTCGGTCGAACGGCCGGTGGTGCGAAGCTATCATCCGCCGGGAGTAACTCTGATCGCCATTAAGGGTGAAACCCATCTAGTCGAATTCGGCAAGGATAATATCATGGAGTCCCGTGAGTCGGGAGGCTCCAAACAATATGATTACTATAGTCGCACTTCACCACTTGAGGTGCGGCGTCGAAGCCCATTTGGGTCGTGGAGATCGACGCTGTTCGGATAACTCGTGCATCATGGCTCCGAAGACCCCGAATGTAACTCAGTTCGATTGTTGGGGCTCGGAATAGTCTGTAGACGACTTCCGTTCTTGGCGGGGTGTTGTACTCGGCAGAGTAGCTCTGCTATAATCCGTTGAGACTCGGCCCTTAGCTAGGTGATTCGTTTTACAAATATTTAATACACGAACACAATATGTAAAATTTTAATGTACGCATACATAGTATGTTTTATGCTATGGCAGTCAAAAAGGAGTAATATTATGTTGACATGCATAATAATAAATGAATTGAAAATAAACTACACGTTCGTATGTAAATATTTAATACACGAACAAGAATTTAAAACCAATCTTTTATTATATCCTTTGTCTTAGTTGAGAAAATATTTTTGACCTAACTATTTCAAGGGTTATTTACTACTCCAGTACATAGCAATAAAAGTTAAAGCCCACTATGTTCGTGTATTAAACATTTATGAAACAAACAACCTAGCTAAAAGTCATGAATAGAAAGTATTTCTTAAAATCTTGCCAAAAAGATCAACGAAACAATTAATTGAAAAGAAACGTATATATATTTGCAGCTAACATTAGTCCCAAGGCATTCACAAGAGCCTAGAATGATGATTATTACAATAATCCATCCAGGCTGTTCCTTTGTTGTGGTACACAGGTACCCAGCGCAGGCCTTAAACGTTCCCTAAACGGCAATTAAGGACAAAATTACATTTTCTCTTAAAGATATTTATGAAGCAAATAAATAAGATCTCAACTTCACCTTTACGCTTTTAAAAGGATGTAGGGTGAAAATAAGGGATCGATTTTTGACCGAACAATAGAGTCGTTTATACAGCCCTGGATTTTTATGACTGCGCACGATCAAAGATGACATTGTGACTTTATAAATGACGGTTGGTGCTAGGTTTATAATATTTTGATGTTCACCGTGAGAGGCAATCGTTTTAGCTCATATTTTGCTAGATATGGGCTAAAATATGGCTTCAGAAACAGTTGATGCACATTTTTATCCTGATTGTTTTTTGTCCAATTCCGTATTCATGAAGATTAATGTACGAGATTACCAATTGTTTCTTTATTTTTACGGTGTCTTCGTCTAACTGATAAAACATTAACGGCATTTACAGTTCTCGTGGTTCCAAATTAAACTTAAACCCAAAATTATAAAGTCCAAGTTAGATTTCATAGTCTCAGTTACATCGCAATGGTAACACTGAGCCTAACCCCATTTATTATGTATACTTCATTACGTATTAAAAAGGCATTTCAAAAAGAATTTGGAAGTTGTTTGTAATAATTCTTTAGACTCATAATTTTATTAAAGTTTTGGATTCACTTGTAGGTATGTGTAGATCATTTTCCTACTTCCTCTTTTAATGGAATCGACATAACTTTATTCATGGTAATATAGAAATAATAGATTAAGACCCAGTGTTAAAATTTTTAAATTATAGTACGAAACATCGATTTTAATCGCGATAAACGTGGCTATTCACGTAAATACGTTACAATCCGTTTAGAATTGCTACCAAAAAAAGTATATATATCACAAAACTTTTTTACTTAAATTATTTTATTTATTTAACATTTGCAACAGTAGTACAAGGACGGGCTTAATGGCATGAGCATTCTTACTAGCCAACCATCCATTGCTAAATTATCCATTGAACAATCGACAAACTATGTATAACTAATGCATTGAATTGATGAACATGTCCCTTCAAAGTATATCTAAATACCAGTACGTTAACATATATACTCTAATCCAGTGTTTTTCAAACTGTGGGTCGCGACCCCTAGGGGGTTCGCGAAGCCTTACTCGGGGGGTCGCCGACTGAAAGAAAAACGTCTCCACCGAGTCCGCGGACCCGCCGGTCAGACAGGCCCCATATGATCCACGTTGGGCGCTGAGACAGCTGGACCGGGAGGTTTTCCTGGAAGCCGCAATTGTGCAGGCCTGGGTGATACCACCGGTCGGACGGTACTCAACGAGTTATATCGCGCGTAGCTTTAACAACTTACCTCGTACTTACTTTCAATACTCTCGCAGCTTCTTGCAGAGTAGACCTGAATAATTGATAAAGGTACCAAAATAGTAGAATAAAAATCATTAACGTATGTAGTCTTAATTAAATTTTATTAGTTCTTAGTCTTTCTATGACACAAGGGGGTCGCCAGATTTTCTCAACTTGTAAAGGGGTCGCGAAATCAGAAAGATTGAAAAACACTGCTCTAATCTAACAATGTATTTTAGACTTTTTTACAAAACATTAAAATTGATAATGCTTAAAGTATCACCTGGCACGCATAGCACGTTTTTTGATTTACATACCACCACATACAGTATAACAAATCAAGATAGCAATCTAGTAATACAGGAACACAGAGACATTACCGAAATCACGATCCCTTTGTATGAATACAAAGGTCTTATATGGAGAGCGTTTATCGCGAAAAAAATGCTAAAGAATGTCATTGTATTTAATGTAGAGGCCTAAAGGGCTCCACTGAGTCCTTTGGAGTACAATGGCTCCCGTTCCCTTACTACATAGTCCACTTTTCATTTGGTATTCGTTATAACAAAAGTGCTTGTATTGTAATAAATATAATACTAAGTATTATATAATAAGAAAAATCAGTGAGTCTGTATGTTGAATGAAAATCAGTAAAATAAGTAAGTATGTATTAATTTTCTTTTCTATATTATAATGTTGCAAACTGCTAAAATATTTTGATTTTACGTCTAAAGGAAAAGAAGAGAATATAAAAGATAACACATAAAATAGAGGCAAAAAATATAATTAATTAAAAAACGATAGCATTGGAAAGTACGTAAACTATTGTAATACCTTTTTGTAATTTACTTTAAAGTTAGTTAAAAGCAAACAATAGACGAAATAAACACTAAATCCTGCTAGACAAAGCCGTCAGTACAGCTATAAGTCTACACACAATAATTAAACAGTTTCACCACATATGCCAGCGGCACATAATTATGAGAACACCCTGTAAATGAGAGGTTCTTGCGGTTATACACTTACTTGTTTTTGATATTTAAATAACTCTTTGAAGTTATCGTCCCTTGGTAATTGCATGAGCTTTTGTGTTTTACCATTTCGTAAAAATCTCGTTAGTAATTTGGCAGTAACATGAATAATTGCAGAAAGTGGTCATAGTGCCGGAACGAGGACAGCATACCATACGATTTTTCATTCAAAAGTTTGTTTTAAAAGCATGGAAGCGGAATTTATTGTGTTTCCTGCTCAAAGGTAAATAAACAGGCTGATTCCCATGAATGTCAATAAAATTAAAATCGTTTGTGTAATTCGATCGATTGAACAGGTAAAGCGGACAAATGAAAAAGAAACAAAATTAGATTAGTCCACACGTAACGTTCTCGGAAATCGATAGTCTGTCAAAAACGTACCTGAACTTGGTAATTAGTAATTTCCCGAAATTAATTTGATCTTAGCAGTTCAAAGAGCTCGTTTGAAACCGTTGAGCTAGGTTTTCGCTCACTTTTTCCTGTTTATTGACCCGAATATCCTGCGTAACTTTTGCTCTCATACCTGCTTTCTAGAATACAACTCAATGGTATATGAGCTGACGCCATATTCTTCAATTAAACGGGTTAGACGTCGTACTCTAAGAATATCATTTGTTATACCAACCTTTTATGAATGTACAGATGAGGTATACAATGGTAGAGGAACGCCAATGATACGGATTAACAGTATTCAATTTGACATTTATGGATCTTGCCCAAGATTTTAGCTTTTATTCTTAATTAAAGTGATTGAACACAGAAATGCTGTCTTCTAAAAGATGACAACTAAAATTACCATGATATATATTTTTTTTTCTATCAAGCATAAAATAATGTTGATAGTTATTGACGTTAATCAAAATTTTAAATCACTTGACTGATTCTGATTGGAAAACTAAAATTACCGAGTAAAGTCGGCTGCTTTTCTTAAAATTAATCTTTAGTAAAAGTTAAAAATTGATTCAGCAACCCATGTCAATATTATCTATAAAAATTTGTTCAGAGAAATTATATTCAACTGTAGATAATATCTGTAGATATACTTTATGGATTCCTAACGGGCTTCAATAGAATATTTGCAACAATCCGAAGAATTTGAATGAAACATTGTTAAGCCGCGGTCAATTTCGCTCCGAAATATTTTATATTAGAACAAAAAAGTTTTCTCGCTCTTGTCTGTAAGACCTATCGCTTTAAAATTTGATGTATCTCGGGCCGATGTTATTTGACTTTTAAATTGGAATGCTATCTCCTTTCAAATCGGCTTTCGTCTTATATCTGCGATCTAACATTCTCCATCCTTCGAACGCTGGCTTTACTATACATTTAAGGTTTCGCCATTTTCAGAGTTCTAGAGTTAATTCCTTTGAATAATTTGACGTGGATTACTTTTCCAAGATGAACGGACTATACATTTGTGTTAGACTACTAATAATCTAAAGATATATAAAATACCTAATCTTCCAGAAAAATCTCTTACCCAAAATTGTACAGTCAACAGTTTGTTAAGCTTAGATACTCAAAGATTATAATGAAAATATTTCTTTCTTTTGTCTTCAGTTGGATTTGAAGAAGCAATTTGACGAAGGGGACACAACGAATTACCAGACGAACGGGGAGTTCGACCTAGTGAGCTTTGAGGCCATTCGCCATGACCAATATTACTCCTGCTGTGTGGAACCCTACCCTGACATCACATACATCATCAAATTGAGGAGAAGACCCATGTTCTATGTCTTCAACCTTATTCTTCCCTGTCTCCTCATCAATGGTATTGGTAAGTATAGCAGAAAATCTAGAAGCTTTATTGTTATTAACTAAGATTCATGTTTTATTATGTCCATTTTTATAAGGCCTGCTCAATACCGCTGAGAATCAATTTAACGAAATCAAACTTTAGAATGTATTAAAGCTTTGTAACTTCAGGTTATAACTTTGTATGAGTATGTGTAAGAGCCTTGGTTTCCCTTCTATACTGATACCATATTATTATATTTTAAAATAAACTAAAATAAATCCGCAATACACAACGCGACGACTATCGCGCTGCTACTAAACTAGTCGAGGTCTTCGTGAAACAGTTACAATGACATGAGTAAGCTCTAAACATAATTATTAATTAAGTATGTTTGACAAAAGATCACTACATAGTATAAGTAAAACAAAGTCGCTATCCGCCGTCTGTCTGTCCCTATGTATACTTAGATCTTTAAAACTACACAAAGGATTTTGATGCGTTTTTTTTTAATTGATAGAGCGGTTTTTAAGGAAGCTTTATATGAATAATACATGCATATTGCACCCGTGCGGAGCCGAGGCGGGTCGCTAGTATAATATAAACATAGAATAAAACCAATGAATAGTATACAAGTAAGGTTAGATTTCCCTAATTTCTAGCTACATTTGTACTGCTAATTCTGAGGTTGAACTTTGAATAGTATCCTGAATAACAAACACATTACGGATACTGTACCACGGTAAACAATTAGGGAATGTCGGTTCTAATTAGAAAACATTAGCTCGTGTTAATTAGCCGGGTAAATAAATACGTAGCAGAAATGTGTCGAACATTATTTTCTGGTACTATTCCTGCCATTTGGCTTTATGATAATAAATTTTATTACGTGTGTAATAAGAGCTATTTTATTAGTTAGTTATCCACAATATTTCGACTGTAATTCTAGATCCGATCTTGAGAATAATGTAGAGGGTTTATCCTAAATATAGCACAAATTGCTCATACGATTATGTCTTTTGAAAGTTTAACGAGGCCTGATTACTTTGGGAGTACAAAAATACTGGCTAGCCTTTGTAGGTTCAGCTCGTGGTTTGAGGGCACTAACGTCGTTTCACACAAGAGGCTTTAGGGTTTATGTGAATCGCCTTTATATCATATTCTATTAGGCTACCACTGATTGTTGAGAAATTCGAGGAAATCTTAACAAATTCTTTTACCTTTGTTATGTATGTACGAACATTAATTCTGGATACGCGTCGAGTGATACACGAATGTATTTGTGAATAATCAGAGAGACGTTCGAGTGGAATAACACAATAAACAAACACAAAGACTTACTTATCCTTATCCATTTACTCACGTCGGATTTCACGGCTTTTGTTATGATAATTAGATAAATCGCTTTATTCCTACATTCGTACATGAATAGTTAAATATCATTGTCAATACGTACTTTATTTTGCAACAGATGTTGATAGAAGTACTGAAGTTGGGATTTCATATTAAAAAGTCATACGGTCACTTTCTGTTAAGAAAATGCTGTACAACTTTCAAAGTTTTTACCCACTTGCTTTGGAGAGCATATACAACTTACTTTCACCAAAATATTTAATATAATAGGTATCAGTACCTATAATGCGCAGTAAAAGTAATTCAATATACACTTTATTACAAATTCACTTTTTTATAACATCTAATTACAATTATGAGCGTTTACCTTACTTTAAATGACTTAAACTTAGCTATCGAACTTTCTAGAATACATTATACAAATGGGATGATGTCAAGGTATGAAAATTAAAAAACTAATTAATCCGTAAGTTAGATAATGAAAAAATATTAGATACGTATTTTTTCATTTTGTCGTATAATAAAACAATACTCAGATAAAACGAATCAAAGTTTAGGAGTGGGGGCTAAAACGTCATTTCTACGTATAAAATGTACATAGAAGTGACGTCACGCGACATTTCATATCAATATATCGTCGAAAGTATTCGTTTCTATAAGAATATAAAAAAAACGTGTATAATGATTTAAAATAACCTACCAGACAGATATATGAATAAAAATTAGGCATCTACCCTATTCAAATAAACCGAAACCAGTCAGTACTTCAATGCTATTTGACAATGAAAACTATACATATCAAGTATAATATTATGTATAGTTACATAATACTTGGTTCCAATAAATTTAGCAAGTATTTTTTTTGTTCCAGCACTTCTAGTGTTTTACGTGCCGTCGGAGTCAGGTGAAAAAGTGACCCTGGGCATAAGTGCACTTCTGTCTATGACCGTCTTCTTGATGACTATAAGGGACACGTTGCCGCCTACAGAGAAAACCCCACTTATTAGTAAGTATTTTAACTTAGCATTTGGTTAGATACTTTAACATAGCATTGATTGTCTAAAGAATCTAAATGTCGAAAACTAAGCAGTTTTGGGTAACATTTATGTAGATATAGTTTATCAGCTACAACAATGAGTCTGGGATTGTTTCTATGTATGACAATATACGGAAGTCTCCTTACTGGAAACTTTATCCCTTCAAGGATTAAAAGTATAGTTATGTTATATTGTACATATCAATTTAAATACATATTCATATTTGTATTGAACGGTTAGTTGGACAAGGTAACACGTAATACGCTACGCACGGCACATTATAAACCCTTGTCAAAATGACAGAATATTTGTTTGATGTGTTTTACTCTGGGTATTTTGAAATAGATACGTAGACTATGGAGTGTTGATTATAAGTACCTACTTTGCTACATGTTACGTACTAATAAGGTAGCTACTTAGGTACTGCATTTCTTTTAACATGCCCTTAATCACCCAAGGAGTTTGCAGATCTACAATGCTAACTATGTCATTAAATACATAACAATACATCACGTCTTTTTATCTCCGAAGGGGTAAGCTGAGTTGCACATTATGGGACTGAATGTCACTGTACAATGTAACATCCACTTTTCACTATTTATGTTATGAGTCCCAGGTAATAGGGGGTGAGCTTATTGCCATATACTGTGTGCCTAGCACGAATAACTATCGCATTCGTAACGTAATAGTATCGAGACGTCGAAACGTCATGTGACGAAAACGGAATGTCGCAGCACGAAGCCTATCGTATCGTCTTTCGAGAGCTCGAATCAAATTCGTTAGTGACGTCATGCTGATGTAAAATAGAGAAGCACCCAAGTGAACGAATTGAATGCATAATGATTACGTCTGAAAACTAAACCATTTTTAAAATATTTTTCTACCTTTGTCTGCACGATTAAGGCTTTGATATTTTGTTAAGATATATTGGTTAAGCAAAAAAAGGTCAAGAATGGAGTTTACGGTTATGTAAAGTGACATAATCGTATTACTACAACCAAAAGAGGTACTAGTTAATTTGTAATTTCATAAAATATTTTACAATTTCCGAACGTCGTGTTTGACAGAGGTCAAATGCCATTATGTCAAGTTAATTGTTTGTTTATACGTTTATTAAGATTTCTATTTTAATTAATATAAAAGAACTCAATTCTAATGCAAAATAAGGGTGGAGTTAATGGAAAGTATCGTAAGTAAAAATTTCAACATAAAATACGCGCGAAAAACAATATAAGGGTATTGCTTTTCGTAGTCGGGTTATTATTGTTTTGATTAGTTTCTCTTCATTGTGTTTGACCTAATATGCATTGTAATGCCTATTCCAGGATTCCAGGAGTTTGTCTAAGCCAGCTTTTCAACCCCACAAACTACTTCTACTCCATTAGAGAATGAATAGACCAGCAAAGAAGACTAAACTTGAACTGACGAAATTGTTCTTGCAACTTGATAATAAACAAGTGATGATGCTGGGAAGTGTGAGAAAAGATAATGAAATATAATGGTGCTGACATGGTGCTCCTATACGTGTCTTCATGTGGAATACAATGAAACAAATTAAACATGTACAACATTATAGTACTAGATTTAATTTTTTTCTTGAATCTCTTTGTACAATAAAATTTGTCTTTAAATACATACAGTCTATCTCTTATGAAATATACTTAGTAACATATTGACAGAATATTTGCAGAATATAAATTATACTGATTTATGATAAAGTGATGACTTGAAACAAAAGTTGCATAAACCTAGTTCAAGCAATGAAAATTCTGTTTACACAATTCACTTTAAATATAAGTTTCCTTTATTAAGATCTAGGTAATTTATGATAACATTAAATACCTAGCCCGGTGAAGGATTTCTATACTTTGGACAGTCGAAATTGCGTTATAGCTAACTTGTATTAAGTTATCTCCTCTATCTATCCTATCCTATATAATGCATGTTCAAAGAAAGATAAGTATATGAGGCATATAAAAGTTTATAGTGCTTGAGGTTTGGGTATATCAAAATATATGGCAAAAATTTGTAACACAACTAAGCTGTTATTGCTATTAGCACAATTTTCGGTGGCGTAGTGGAGTATGTTCCTTGCACAAACAACACCATCGGTTTTTCAATCGTCCAAAAGTATTGTTAATGGTTATCCATCCACGACGACAAACTTAACAACGAGTGGCATTCTCTGCATCATTATTGCCATGTTTCCCGAAAACATTGATGTTGATGAATCATTTCATACGCACACTACTTTTTTTAGTTCATTTTAATTTATAATTGTCACAAAATCTTAATTTTAAAATGTTTCGAAACCTTTCTCACCGGCAAATTCTAAGTGACAAATGTTTTGACAGTTTTCGATAGCCAGCCTTCGAAATTTACGTTACCGTTTGTCAAAAGATCGTTCGTGCTTCCAATTTGTGTCAAAATGTTCTAAGTTTCGATAGCAACACGATACGATTACGATACGATAGTTGTCAAAATCATTCGTGCTTGCGTCGTGTAGTTCCTCTTACGCACGGTAGGGGCGCTGTACAAATCCCATAGAAAATGCTTTCGATGTCGATACGAATACTTTCTCGATAGTTTTCGTGCTAGCCACTCTGAACACAATTCCAGACTCCGTGCTACTAAGGAGTTTTTTTTTAAATCCCAATATCTAATACTTTGCTCGAAACCTAGACCTTTTGCCCGACAGTCATACTTGCGACGACTCAGCAAATCCAGTCATTGAATACAATGAAGCAGAAATGGGATCTTTATAATATAACACAATTTAATTTTGTTTCAGGTTTGTATTATGGAGTTAGTACGTGTTTAGTGTCATTCTCGGCTTCTCTATCAGTTGTCACGCTCAATATATCTTACAGGCGAGTTTTACTTCTACAAATATTAATAATAATAGTATTTAGAATAAAAAGTAAAACTGTAGTTCGTACAACTGCAGTTTTAAAGGTGGTTTCTAACTGAAACTATCCCATGTTACTTCATAGCAGCTCTTAAGAAAATAGTTCAAAACGTTTGATTGTTCCTAACCAATCCACTTACCTAATAATTATTTTATTAATATTATGTTCGACCTATCACTTTCAATTTAAAACAAATGCATAAAGTTGCCAACATAAACTGAAACTACAGTTCAGTAATTAACCAAATTAGGTAAGCCCCTACTTAAATATAATTATACGCAATTAAATTAATTTTATTCATTGAATTTAATGACACAAAGCAAATTGTTCAATTTTAACGTACACAATAAACGTAATAATAATTTTATTACTTACCTAACAAAAATTTCGTATGACCTGAAAATGTAACAATTTGATTTCATTAACGCCATTTGATTATGAAATATTCTAATATATTTTATCTATAATTATGTAAATATCGATGATTGCTAAAAATAAAGAAATGTAGATATAAAAATATATCGATTATTCAGAAAATTAAGGGATGGACGTAAAGCAACTGGGGGTCGAATTCATGTTTCATATCAATGAGGAAAAACAGAGTCTTTTTCAATACAAGAGATTTAACTTGCTAAATAGAATGCAGCTTCAAACGATCGTTTTTTCTGTTTTTCAGTATGAGGGGCATACTGAAAAACATCAGGATTATTTTTAAGTAAAAATCAAGCGATAATGTTAGTTTAATAATAGCAATATTTTTAATAAACATAATTATAGGCTAAGGGCACACCACAATTTTTTTAAAACTAATTTATAGAGAACTAGATGGATAAACTAAGGTCCCGGCTGCATTATAGTTAAAACGCGACTACACTAGCGTAAGCGTGAAAGATTACGAAAGTAATGCAAAAAAATCTTTGGAAAAACTATAGTGTGGGCTAACCCTTATAGCGAATTATAAAAATATCTAGGTATAAGTTTAATATTGATAGGGTATTATTGTGTACTGTTTTTACAATACATGTGTTGTGTGAACGTATGGTGTTGCTCGTAGAGGAGTGAGAGGGCAGCCGGTGCCGGCGGTGCTGCGCGAGCTGGTGCTGCAGCGCCTCGCGCGCCTGCTCTTCATCAACCTTGACACTGACGGTGCAAAGGTAATTAATACTTACATGTGTATATTTTAATATGTAACTAGTAGTAATATGTAATAGTTTTCATAAGATGTGAACCAAAACATAACATCACGCCTTTTTATCCCCGAAGGAGTAGGCAGAGGTGCACACAGATGTAACACCCACTTTTCGCCTGTTGCCATATACCGGGCACATTTCCAGACTCGGTGCTACTACAGAGAGTTAAAAAAAACCCAGAAATACTTTGCCCGACCTGGGAATCGAACCCGAGACCCCTTGCCCGGCAGTCGCATTTGCGACCATTCGGCCAACGAGGCAGTGAACCAAAACAGTACGAAAGTTATGTATGCATGTATATCCCAGTATCAGAAAATCGCTCAATCATCATCCATGTAGTACAGTATGAATGAAAGCTACAGCTACCCCACTAGGAATACA